GGGCTCACCCCACGTCCTAGATGAGGAGCGGGCCTGGCCAGAGGACTGGGATCCAGGCCTCCCGCCCCCAACTTGCCCCACTCACAAAGGCCCAGCCCAGTGGTTCTCAACCTTCCTAAGGCCTCGACCCTTTAGTACAATTCCTCATGTTGTGGTGACCCCCAACCATAAAATTATTTTTGTTGCTACTTCATAACTGTAATTTTGCTACTATTATGAATCGTAATGTAATTATATATGTTTTTCAATGGTCTTAGGCGACCCCTGTGAAAGGGTCGTTCGACCCCCCAAAGGGGTCGCGACCCACAGGTTGAGAACCGCTGGCCCAGCCAGTGCTTGGGGTACAAAGGCATGGGGGGGCGGGGGTTGGGGCGGGCGGCAGATCATGGGGGTCCTGGCCCAAGGCAAGCCCGCCAGTGAGATGCCTGTTGCTTTGATTTCAGCCTGAGGCTGAGGCTGCCGTCTCCAGGTGAGTGGGGGCCAGTGGCCCAGGGCTGCCCGCGCCTGACCTCGCCTTGGGTTGTAGGGCTGTGCCGGGGGCCTGCTGCTCAGGGCTGGGTCCGTCCTGCTGCCTGCTGTCTGTCTGTGTGCTTCTGCCTGGCTCCCTCCTGCTCTAAACGGAGGCTAACGAGCCCCCTCCCCCCTGCAGGGAAGTCCAGGCCGCTGCCTGTGTGATGGACGTGTCCGCCCTGCCGTGCCAGGGTCTGGGTCCCGAGGCCTCACGGGTCTGCTCCCGCCGCAGCGCTGGGAGCCTGGGAGGCGGAGGCCAGAGAGGCGGCCCCTCTTGTGTCTCCCGAGATGAGAAACATGTTCACAAGGAAACGGTGTCTCTCGGCTGTGCTCTTGGTGCAAACGACGTGGGCTGGAAGGGCAGCCCAGACCCTCAGAGGGGTCCCTCGTGGGGAGGGCGGCAGTGCCGGGAGGTGGCCCTCGCCTGGGCTGGCCCACACCTCCCAGCCTGCAGGGCGCCCTCTGCGGTGGGTGGCTGAGGAGCCCCGGGAGGCGCAGGAACCGTGGGCCGGGCTGGGTGGTGGGCACCTGGGGCAGTCCTCCCAGGGCCCGCACCGGGCATGGGTATAGTGTTCGTTGTGTACATAGCGCGGCCTGCCTGCCGGGCGGCCGGGTTATTTATGGCTGGCAGGAGGCCAGGGGGCGGGGACTCTGCTGCTCCCCCATCCGCCTGGCACCAGGCTCGCTCCTTGCTCACTGGCCTCCTGACATTTGCTCCTCTGAAAGCCTATTTAAGAACTTTTGGAAGCTTAGCCATTTTTAATATTAAAATAAAAGCCTTTTTACACATGTGTGGTCTGAAGAACAGGTCTTGTGAGCCCCAGGAGCAGGGCGTCAGCTGGTGCTGCTCGTGGGTCGCCCACAGCCCCACACCTGCCGGAATAAGGGTCGCGTGGCCTGAACATCCACGACGGGTAGGGCCGGTGCCCCCCTCCCCTCGTCACGACTGACCCATCAAGTGTCGTCACCTCCGTCTTACAGGTGGGACATGCAGGCTCCTCCACGGCTCGGCACAAACATGGCTGGGCCCTGGCCTTGTCCGAGTGAGTGAGCTGGCCACAGGTGAGCGCACCCTCGCCCAGGGCTTACAGGAACCCCGCCCCCCCCCCGCCCCCGCCATGGGGTGTGTGGGCCTAAATTTGGTCCCAGCCTTGAGGGAGCCTGTGCTCAGTGGGGTCCTCCCTCCAACTGGGGCTGAACCCACTGGGTCGGGTCGCTCGTCCTGGCCACCAGCACTGGGGGTTCTGCAGGGAGTGAGGTGTGTTCAGAGCCCTCAGGGGAGGATGGGGGACAGCTCATCCAGTCCTGTCTCTGAAGGCCTCCGGGGGCGGGGAGCAGGCTGGGCTCTGGGGCAGCACAGTGGTGGCCGTGTCTGAGGTGGGGTCCTGGCATCCTGCAGCTGTTGGCTTGGAGGCATCCACAGGACAGCTGGGAGTGTGGCTGAGACAGAGGATGGGGGGGTCCGCCTCTCACCTGTCTCCCAGCCGTGGGGGAAGACTCCCCCAGAATAAGTCTGAATCAGCCCTTTCCTGTTGGCCTGGCACTCTGCTGCCCCCTGCTGGCCACACAGCCGGGTGCAAGCCTCTGCCTGCAATCCTGCACCTGGGAGAGCCCTGTGGCCAGAGATGCCCCTTCGGGCAAGAAAACCAGGGAATAGTTACAAATTTAATAAAATTTGTCTTATAAATTACAGCAGCAGCCCCAGGGCTTGGTTGGCTGCCCCAAGAAGCAAGAATTGGGCAAAGCTGGGCAGCCATAGCTGGACAGAAGTTGTCTGAGTTCAGGGCTGTGGAGGTGGCCAGTGGGCCAGCGCCGCCGCCTCCAGGATGGCCACAGGGCAGAAGCTCATGGGCCGGTGGGTGCACAGGTAACAGGAGTGGGGGTGGAGGCCAGGCCCCGAGGGTTGCCTGGTGCCCCCACCCATTGGGTTCCTCAGTCCAAACTGGCCATGAGCAGGTGCAGCTCCCGGAAGGCACTGCCGTGGCGGCCACTCAGGCCCGACTTGCTCCTGACGAGGCCGCTGATGCTCTTGAGCTGCTTATAGCAGAGCCGGCACTTGTGCAGCCTGTGGGCAGAGGGGCAGCACTAACCACTCCCGCCCCGGGCAGAGCCAGGCTATGGAGGAACCCAAGCTTGGGCTCACCCCACCCTCCCTCCTGAGTTGGGGTTTGTCCCAAGCAGTGACCTCCTGTATAAGCTGTAGCAGCAGGGCCATCAACAGTGGGCCGTGTGCCCTCAGCTGGCCTGGCACCCCTGCCCGGCCCCTCACCTCTCTTCCCGGCTGATGTCGACACCCACAGAGGGCGGGGCTGCCAGGATGTCAGTGATGAGGGGCAGAAAGCGCTGTAGGATCAGCTTCAGGGAGGTGCAGCCTGTCTGGACATAGCTGCAGAGGCAGGCGGATGGATGGAGCCACAGACGGACAGCAAGTACACAAAGACAGGGGCAGAGGATGAGAGGCAGCACAGGCTTGTTCCCACTTTGGCCTCTGGAACTTGCAGCGGGCAGCACAGCTGCACAGCCACCTCCCGTGGGCACCCCCTGGGGGTCTGCCCAAGCCTCTGCCCCTCCCTGCTGTGAGGAGGCGGGGCTTCTCTGCGTACCTCTCATACTTGCTCTGCAGGAGCTTCTCGATCTGCGGCAGGACCGTGGTGCAGAGGTCCAGCTTCCACAGGGAGCTGGGGAGAGGCCGGGACAGGTGCCCTCAGCACCCAGCCCTGCCCGCTCCGCCCACTCACCCCCTGCAGCCACTTACGCTTTCTGGTTGACGATGTTAAGGAGGTCCACCACCACCGACAGGTCATTGATGGCTACGGCCGAGTCCACCGACGTCTGTGCAAACAGAGCGCCCGTCAGGACAGGGAGAGGGCCCCTGCCGGGTGTGGTGTGGTGTGTGTGATGGGCCTTATTGTGGGACAGTGATAAAGCCACCTGAGATGACAGAGGACAGGGAGAGGGCCCCTGCCGGGTGTGTGTGATGGGCCTTATTGTGGGACAGTGATAAAGCCACCTGAGAGGATCAGCACAGGCCAAGCCCAGGGATAGGTGTGCAATAAATGGCAGCTTGTGATGAGGATGGAAGAGATCAAGTCAACCACAGTGTGGTGACGGGCTGCCTACCCCCCACCGGCCAGTTCCTGTGGCCCTCTTCTCGGTTCTGCCCTAAGCCCAGGGCAGGGGCAGGTGCTTGCCTTGATGTCGCCCGTGGTCCACACGGCCCTCACGGTGTCCAAGTTCTTGTGGCGGCTGGTGAGCACCACGCACATGGTGTCGTGGCCTTTGCGGATTTGCGACATGGCATCCTCGTCGACCAGCTCTGTCTGCTGGGGGATCTTCACAGCCTGTGGGACAGGCCCAGATGCTGGCAGCGAAGCTCTGCCCTCGCCCACGGGCCTCCACCCACCCTGGGCTGGGCCCACACTCACAGGCAGGAAGTCGGAGGCCTTCAGGCCGATGGGCTCGTTCCGGGTGGCAGGGATGATGGCAGGCTCGGCCTTGGGTGCGGGGGTGGAAGTGACGACCTGGGACCAGGGTGGGACCTCGAGCTGGAGGGGTCCGAGGCTCAGCGGACAGCCAGCCTGAGGGCTCCCTCTCTACCCGCCAGATGGGAGGCCCCTCACCCTGGTTCAGGGCTCCAGCCCCTCTGAGTCTCACACACGCCCTCTACCCAGACATACGTTTGGCACCGGGAACTGCGTGTCCATGGCTGGGCTGGGCTTTGCTGCCTCCTTGGCTGTGGCCACGTCTGGAGGCAGAAGGAAAAGATTTCTGGGTCAGGAAGAAGGCAGGGTGGGACTCTGGACGGCATCTGTAACCGAGGGGGACAGGGCAGGAGCCAGCGGGCAGCGGGGAGGGAGACGTCAGCAGTGTGGGTCCTGGGGAGGCCTAAGGGCAGGGGCTGGGCTGTCCCCCACTTTCTACCTACCCAATCCCAGGCCTGGCAGAAAGCAGGCATCTAGCCCTGTGAGTCGATGGGTGGGGCGATCTGCCAGCTCACTAGGAATGTGTGTGCTGGGGGCGCTGGTGGTGAGGGCTGAGAGCCACAAGGCCCCCATCTACAGCGAGCCCAGCTTGTTCCTCCACAGCGCTTATTCCTCCACAGCACGTGTCCTGTTTCTGGACTCATCTGTGGGCTTGAGAGGAGCACCTGTCTACCCTGTTTACGCTCAACCACCAGGGACTAGCCTGGGGCTTGGCACATAGTAGGTGCTCTCGAGTGAGCGGCAGAGGCTGAATCTGTGCCTCAGAGGGGAGAGGACTGAGGAGCTGGGAGGCCAGCTCTGCCCCACCGACTCACCATCCTCTGGGGGTGCTGGGAAGGGCTCGCTTCTTCGAGGTGGTGTCCGACCTGTAGAGGGGAGAGGGGCTGGGGACTCGTGTCAGCTGCCCAGGGTTCCTGTCTGCGTCCCCAGGGTCCTGTCAGGACTTGGGGATGGAAGGTGGTTTCCCGGCATGCAGCTGCACACCTGCGACCCTGTCCCGGCCCACAAACCCTGTCCCGCCCCTTCCCACCCACTCGCCCCGGTGGGCAGGGCACTGAGTGGCTGCCAGGGCTCTGCCGGGGCCAGGAGTTCCTGGGGAGAGAGCTGGCCCGGTGTGTGTGGGTTAGGAACTAAGGGAGCTGCATGGATGCCGTCCCCAGAAAGGATCATCTGCATCATTTCACAGGTGGGGTGCTGGGGTTCCCGGGGGGCGGGGGGAGCCGGGCCTCACTGATGCTGTTCTTGGGCTGGAAGATCTCGTTGTAGTCCTCCGCGTTCTGAATCTCCGCACGAGACTCCCGCTCGTCCCGGTCGTCCTCGCTGCTGGGGCTGCGGCGCTCGCTCTCAGAGTTCTGCTTCACCCTGCGGGCGGCAAGAGGAGGACGGACGGGCCAGTGAGGCCAGGCTGGGACCCCCAAAGCTTTCCCAGGGTCAGACCCGTGTCCTGTGCCCCTCGAGCCCCGAGCCCACCTCTGAGGCTTGCTGCAGGTTGTGCTGGGCCGCTCGTAGATGCGCCGAAGGGGGGCAGTGGGGAGGGGCGGCTGCTGCGTCAGGAGCCGGCTGTCCTGCACGGGGTCCTGGGTCACCGTGCCTGTCCTGGTGACCCGGGTCAGGTCCACCACATAAGAGGAGACGTTGCTCTGGGCGAAGGCCACGCCTATCTGCAGGAAGCGGCAGAGCAGCGGTTAGGGGATGGGTGGGCAGGATCCCCGCAGGGCCGGTGGGAGTGGGGGCCTGCTGGGCTTGTGGGAGCAGCTGGGCAGACAGAGGGAGGGTGCGGGCGGCGGTCTCACCAGCTGGTTGTTGCAGATGGCCAGGTCGGCCACCTTGCCCCAGTTGACGAGGACCACGTCAAAGCAGCGCTCGGGCTCCCAGCCGTAGACGCGCAACGAGTCCTGGCAGCCGCTGTACAGGCAGCAGCCGTCGGGGTTGAAGAGGATGCTCCTGGGCAGGCGAGAGAGGGCCATGGGTCCCAGGAACCCGGGGAGGCTGCGGGGAGCCCGGGACAGGAGGGAGCAGAAGCCGAGAGGGAAAGCGCACCCGCATCCACACCTCATTCCCGGGAAGGGCTGCCCACCGCCCAGTGGCCTGCGTACCTGACAGGCCCCGGCTCCCCTTCGATGCAGCTCACCACCTGGAATTTCTCCAGGTCCCAGAAGCGGATGGTCCTGCAAAGGCAGCCAGGCTGTGCTGGGAAGCCAGAGCCCTGGCTCCACGCAGGCCTTCTCTCCCCCTATTACCTGCGCCCCCACCCCGCCCAGCACCCCTCAGGGCCAATAAGAGCAATGCCTTGGGCCAGGGCTGGCCCTG